CTGCGGAATTTTCTAATCAATTTTAATACTTAAAAAAGATGCCACAGGAGTTATACCTCTTGCTCGTGAAAAAAACAAGGTTAGACATTAAGGTCTTCTGCTTAGGATAATATACTTAAAAATTACCATCTACTTGTTCAAGAAAACATTTATAGAAGTAAATCGACTTCGGGTATTTTAAGAGTCGGAGTGACCCGTGACTACTAATATCGCCACTACAGTTTTTCCTTAAATATGGCAAATTTCGCCCTCTCGTCCTACGCATAAATTACTACTTTGAATACACCGCGTCATATTGCAGCTTAAAAGAGTTACAATTTAAAGTAGACATATCTATGCTTACCTTCCCTCTTTTAATGGATGATGCAGGTTTGGTCTATAACTATTAAAGCCAGTAAAACTAGAGCAAAGTTCATTTTGATCATACGTTAACCAAAAATCCTTTGTACATAAAAAAAATCTTTAAATTTTGCGCCCTATCAAATATTCCCGGAACCAAACAAAATAATTAATTCCAATTAATACCGACAATATGGCATACTGTTGAAATGTGAATTTACTCGTTGACAGTACAAGAAAGCAGATTGCAAAAAGTTTAAAATAGCTTTCTTAATAATTTTTATAGGTACGTCCATTGTTCGTTCCTATACACTTTGACACAAAGCTCGTAACTTAGAGGTCGTTGTTTATATCCCTAAAGCACGTACTATTAGCTTCTTAATAAAATGCTAAAAAGTCTCGAGTAAGCTATTCTCCTATAATGTTTTCGGTTGTTATGAGTTGTTTAACAGTTAAAGAGAGAACAGAAACTAATTAAACCTAAGTTTGGGGCTTGCACTTTCTCTGTGATTCAATGAAAAGAGGGGAACAAAAGCGATGAGTCACGTGTGTTGCGATTTAACAATGCAATGAAAGACCACGTAGTGACGGGTTTTGATGGTACTGAAAGAACGCAAGTAAAACGGTGTGCGTAACATAGAAAAGCAACTTATGAATCTAATATATGTGACAAAGTGGATTTAATGTCAACCTTGTTAAACATTTAGCTCGGTGGATATACAATGTTAGATGGGGTCCTAACATTGGAAGTTAAATGAACTAAAGGAGTATGTTTTGCCTGCCTGGTGTAATTATGAGCTGAAAGTAAGAACCGAAACCACGGTTATCATGAGGGAGTGCGAAAAACTTCTTGAAGCTGTCATACTAGAAGAAACCTCGCACAGGTGTTCGAATCATATGCAAGTAGTCGTAGAAAAGTCATATATTTTAGGTCGCGACACCAGAGGAAGTTGAGATAACTTAAAAATTTTTTGAGAATGTACGACGCCTTTTAAAGTTTAAACTACAGGTGTATAATAGAGCGGTATAGAGCGCCAAATGTAGGGCATATTAATATGATGGTGAGAGATTAAAGTATATTTGGCATTTTTGATAATGCTAAAGGTTTTTATCAAAAAAAAGAGATCGACGAATACAGCAAGAAGTACTTTGCATTCTCCCTCCCGAATAGAAGACGAATCCACTGGAAGTACTGTACTTAGGTTACGTTAACGTTTCCTTGGAATATCAGAAAAGCTGATTGTTCAGTGGTGATATTGGCTCTAAGGAAAAATATCAAAATAGACTTTAATTTTAGTCAGAAGATATGAACGTTAAAGGTATAAATTAGGTTAGAAATTTGTAAAATTGCAAAAAATTTAGCTAAATGGTTGAGCAGAAAGCTCATGGTCACCGGTATCAAAAGGATGAAGCCCGGGTGCAGGTTTTAAACATGTGTAAACCCCAAAACAAGGAAGAATTAACAAGCTTTTTTCAGGCTTAAATTTATGGTATTATTATATATCAAACAATGAAATATTTACAGAATCCCTTAGAAAGTTATTTCAAAAAAGGGGTATAACTGGGGAGCCGACAAGGATCGGGCATGGAAAACAATTTTACTTTTCATAGAAAAATGATTGTGTCAAAAAGATAAACAAGGCATGGGCATGCCTTAAAAGGTTCTCGGGCCGTGCACACTATATTACCTTTGTTAGCTCTAAATTAAACGATTTACCGAAAAGGTACAGCGTCACATATAGGGAGGCTGTAGCAATGGCGTAGTGTATTAATAAATTGATGCATGGTGATAAGCAATTAACAGTAAATTGTCTATTTTTTATTAGGAGTCTTTCAGATGGAGCACGACGCTGCCAGGGTAAGAGGTAAAAGAATTTATTGGCTTAAACAGATAATGCATAACACAAAGGAAACTCAAGTACTTCTTTGGAAAAAGTAAGTTACTAGTTTATTTTCTCTTTCGACCGCCTTTAGAAAACACGTAGAAGCCATACACGCAATGCAAATTAGAAAGACTCCTAAGGTGACTCTAAAAAGTACATTCGGCTTGGTTCTACATAGGAAAGTAAAAATTAAAATTGATGTTAAGAGAGAAGAGGTTGCATGATTTAGTAGACAGGAAGAGGAAAGAATGTGTAATATACCAAAGATTTGGAAAAAAAAAAGAAATGGAAATTCTAAGAGGAGTTACATTTAATTAGAGTTGGTCAGTAAAACCACTAATACACTTGGCAGTTCACATAATGGCCATGCCAAAAACTTCTGAAGGGTACCATGGTGTATTGATGGTGTAGAGAGGTATTCTCTTCTGTGTAGGATAAGGCGATTCGAAAAATAAATACTAGATGGGTTAACGGGTGTTTGATGGAATCTAGAATGGCAAATTCCTGAAAAAATTTTAATATAAAATATCATTTTTCACTAGTAAAAAGCTGCGGAGTTATTTGAAAAATTAAAAGTTGAAAGACATTATGTAATAACCAATCATCAGCAACCTGACGACTTAGCTGAAAAAGCAATTTAATAGGTAAAGTAACCTCTAATATAAATTAGTTATGAAAGGGGATATAGAATTTTCTAGCATTTTAAATTAGTGCCTTTAAAAATAAAATAGGAACGCCAAACGCATTAAAAGTCTGCCCAGTATTTATGTTTTTTAAAGAGAAATCTACTTTTGAGGACACCGAACATTGTAGAAACTCGGACGTTTTACAGGAGAATAAGCTCATTCAAAACACTAGGGTGCCCTTAGAGAAACTTAAAGCTACAAAAGAGAAATGGCCTAAAGAGCAAAGCAAAAAATAATGGGTAAAACTAGAAAGGACCCACTAAGGTAATAGAGCGACTGAAAAACGAAACTTTTTGCCTTAGAATACCTAGGAGAAAAAGTAATGAGGTAAAGAAACCAAATTAAGAAAGAGTCAATTACTGGGTATCTCACACTCTGCCCTTAGAGCGCCCAGGTAGTAAGATATTTAAGTTAACTTCCCAACACGCCCTATATTAGTGCCTGCGAAAAAATATAATTGATTTACTTGTTTTTAAACCAAAAAGTACGAACTTGCTTTGGCAGGGTAGCAGCTGCCATGGACAGTTGGATAAATTGTAATAGTAAATAGGTTTAGACCCCTTTAGTGAATCCGCAGACCCCGAACTCTTATTATACCACAAAAATTTAGATGATAAAAACACAGCTATTATATAAACCAGATGATACATTTAAATGTTAATTAAATTAGGAATAATTACTTCTATAGCCGCCCCTGCCACTTCACTTTTGTTATGGGGTTGGCATAAAGCAATTCAATAAATCTGTTTCTGCATCTGCCCATTTCCACATCATTTGGCGTAGGAACTATGATTAATATATATTATACTACGCGTACTTAGGTCAAGAATTAACACGTCACTTCTACTTAAATTATGCACTGGAACAACAAAGTTGAAATGCTTCATAATTAAAACTTTATTAATTCTCTATCCCACCTTCTAAGATATTATAGGGAAGTAAGAGTGTAAGTTTGTGTCTCTACTTCTTTTAATAACTTTTTTAACTTTTAATTATTACGTTAAGCTTAGATTTAAATATTTGCCTCACTTAAAAAATTATTGCTGGTATCCCTGAAAGGTTCACTTACCCCCCTCAGGCTTTGAGTAAAATGGAACCCCTATAAGCTAGCTATTTTTTTCCTTGATGAGCCTACGAGGATCATTTGTAAATCGAATTTATTTACCTTGAGTTCAGTAACCAAATATAAATAAACATAAAAAGACAAATTAATGGCTTTTATTTCAAATTTTTTCTACTTACACTCTCTTAACCTAATGACAAATCTCTTTAAGTTGTAATTCCTTATTTTAATGTAAATAACGTAATTACGAGTTTTTGTAAATCATTCGAGAATAAAATTAATAAATAGCAGAGTTTAAGTATATTAGATTGGTTGTCTAAATGTCGGAAAAAATAAAAGAACAAACAATTTAGATCGGCTACCTTACTAATTACGTACTAAATTTAGGTTAACTAATATATTTAGGCAAGAAAAAAAATATAATGAAAGACCCTGAAGGTATTCTTTCTGTCGCAAAGAGTAAGGAATAACATCATTACAGTGCTCCATACTAACAAATAAGCCAGTTTCTGGTTTCTATGCTCATGTATATTACTAAAAATATAAATTAAGGGTACGCTATAGCGTACATACAACGATCTGATTATTTCAACGCGCGTAATCCCATACCCGATCAACTTTACTAAAACCTTTTTCTTTTACTTAATTTAAAGAACTGGAAAAAGATTTCAAAATTAATCTTTCTTTTAATTTTAAGTCTATATTACGTTTATTTAAATATATATTTGCCTACTTTATAAAATCTTTCAAATAAGCTTTAAAAAAACTGGAGCCAATAATTTTAAGAATTATAGCACGTGTTAAAAGACAGTTTTTAATTGGAGAAAGCTGTATAAACGTAATGACAAATAAGCATATAGTAAATTAATTGCACATAATTAGTTGCTGTCACAAAATTTAAAATTTTAAACCAATAGTTATTATGTTTACGCCCACGTGCACTATTTTTGAAATTTATTTTTTCTATTCTTCCACTCTTATAAAAGGGTGTCTGCACGTTACCGTGGGCTTCCTCGCTTTGGTTTCTGCCTTCCGCGTGTCTCTCTTCCTCCGTTCTTCTAGGCCTGGGTGCTTGCTGTCATAGTTAGACTAGACGACCGCTAGTAATATTTGCATTAGTTCTTTTAGTATTTTTGATTTAAACTTCAGCTCATATCATGTAACGAATCATTATAAAAATTAAGCTGGTCGAAATATTGGGAAAAATTCGTGATGAAAAGTTTTGATGGTTCTAAGAAAGAGGACGAGAGGGTGAATAGCGCCCAAGCACTTGATATTTTAAATATTGAAACCGATGAAAAAAGAGTTGATTTTTCTGATACTTCTAAGACTTCGTTAGTTCTTTGCATTATTTTTTTCTTAAGCTAATATTTATAAACGTAGAGAGTTTGAGGATAAATGGAAGATTAAATGGACAGATTCTAGAAGCCCCGTTCCGAAGTTTAAAAGCATGACGCTTCACCAGAAGTTGTTTTTTATATCACTAATACTCGCTAGGACGTTAGGCATTACAGGTATATGTGAATTCCGCTTTCCTTTTAAGCTATTAAAAAATGTTTATATATATATTTTAGTTACCAATTTTTATTACTCCTTTATATTAGTTTAACCTAGGTTTTATATTATTTATTTTTGCTATTTTTACTTTTTATTTTATTTTTAGTCTAATGAAATACTGTGTTTCACTTCTTTAGGCAGCTTGTATTTTTTTATGATCTCGTTAGACCTTTTGGGTTCAGCTTTTCAGCTTTTGAGCGTAACGGCTTTCGGGAAACTTTTGAAAAACTCCGAGGTCCATTTCTTTAGTATATAAGTTATCTGATTTGTTACTACCCGCGCGAACCACTAAAATTAGGAATTTAAGAACCCCGTCGCTTGTTTGGTGTTCGGTCTTATTTTCACGGCTCTTGTTCATTCCTCCTCTACGACTTCATCTGTTTTTGTTTCATTGGCCGCTTCAAAGATTTTTAAAGTCAAACAGGTGATGTTTTTGCTTCATTAATTGTTTAAAATTTACTTACACCGTGTATCTACAATTTCGACTTTTTTAAAGATCATTTTTATGATTATGGGCGCCAATATTGGCACGTCTCTCACTGGTGTCATCGTTAGTATGACTCAGATTTCGGATAAGCAGATGTTTCGCAGGGCCTTCGCTGCAGCGACCATCCACGATATGTTCAATTTTCTTACTGTTCTCATTCTTTTTCCTCTCGAGCTTTTTTCTGGGCTCTTAGGTTGACTTATTATCTATCCGCTTTATTTTTCTTGCACTCATAGCAATACCCATCAGAAAAGATGGCCGCTGGCTCGACGGCTTCGATCTCCGATAAGCAGGTTTTCAAGAGGGCTTGCGGTCGGTTATTATGAATTAAAACTCAGTTTCGCAGGGTGTTAATTGGAATTTTATCAAGCATATAACGGAACCGTTAACCAATAGAATAATACAAGGTTCAAGTTAACTTCAAGCTAAACGGTCGTTTGCATTCATACAACTTGCTGCAGTTGACAAAGAGGCCTTCTTATCTACTGTTAACCAAAATGCTATGGAAACCGGTATCATAAACCGGAGTGCCTGCTCCACTCCCAATAAATTCCTCTTCTGCTCGGATGCATTGTCGAGTACTGCCATCGGTTTTATTCTACTGTTCTGTTCGCTAGCACTGGTTATGACTTGTTTGCTTCTCCTGGTCAAGGCGCGTTTCTTAGTCCTGTGTGTTTTTTTGTCGTGCCTAACGGTGTGGTGTTGCAGATTCTGCAGTCCATTATGAAAGGGACCGTCTCCCGGTCTATATATAAAGTTATTTCACAAGACTTCCCATATCCCTTCGGTTGGGCAAAAGTAACTTAACTACTTTTTCTCAGCGCTCTTTTCCTCCGTTGCTCTTTCCCCTCCGTGCAGGACTATGCCCTTATTGGTGTCGGCCTTATTCTGACTCTCTTTGTGCAGTCATCCTCAATCACCACTTCGGCGCTGGTGTCATTGGCGGGCGTAGGCCTCCTGACAATCAATTCTGTCCTACCCGTTTGCGTGGGAGCCAATTTGGGTACACTGCTGATACTTTGTTTTCTGGTGATGAGTGACTCGCACTTACCTTGGGTTTAGGGACCACCTTCACAAGCATCCTTTCTGCTTTTTCCCAACGCAATGTGAAGACTGCTTTGACTGTAGCGTTTACCCACTTCTATTTTAATTTTCTTGGCTTCCTCATCTGGTTTCTGGTCCCCTACATGCGCCGTGTTCCAACTACAGTTTCTAAAAAGTTTGGTGCGTTTACCTTTAAGGATATTCGCCCTTTTCTTACGACTTAATGCCTTTTAGGTAATATTACTGCGGAACATCGCTGGTTTTCCGTTTTTTACGTTATGACGGCATTTTTGCTTGTTCCTTTTGCTTTGTTGGGCTTGTCATTTGCCGGAATGTAATACTATTAACACCTGCAAGATCCTCGAGCAAACGACACTTACCTTGCATTCATTATATATATAGGGGCGCGTTGGTAGGTGTTGTCGTGCCCATTGTTACTGTCCTTTTGGCTTTACTGATAGTACTGCGTATACGTAAAAAAAAGCCCGAGTGGCTCCCACCGTTCTTATTGGAGTTCTATTGGTACCTTTTTTTTTTTTTGAGTTGTGGCGGCGCTTACAGTGGGCGTTTTTGCAATGCAGGCTTCCCATTTGGATGCGACGTGAGCCCTCGTTTCTAAAAAAGTTCCATTTGTGGCTTGAAGAACGGGCCCTCAAAAAAAAGTCTAGAAGAAGTGGTACGATTTCTATAGAGTGACAGGGGGTGCGCTTGTCATTTAACTTTTTAAGGAAAACTCACGTTTTCGGAGAGAATTTTCGAAAGGCTGGGACCATTAAACGAAGAGTATACGAACCAGCGATCAATTCTTACTAACAAAAAAAGTATTGAAAAAACAACCCCTTTTGACAAGGCGGAATTTACAATAGAAAGTGTTTAAGTTTATTGTCGAAATAGTCGAAATTTGTAATTTTCACTATGATCAGGACTAAAGGTAGTATGTAGCTTTAAGTGTGTAATAAATGGTTACAGTATGATTATTACTGACCTTTAACCCGGTTGGTTAGCCTGTTAACTTCCCTGGTGGTCGTGTATACGTTACATTATGAAGCAGTGGCAATGATTGGTGGCTCACTGAGGTCGTATTTCTTCTGAGAGCGGCTCATGTTCAAAATTTTTTTTTTAATTTAACTCATCTGCTTGGGATACTTACGTACTAAATTAAAACTCTACGGGAATGCAAAAGACTGTCACAGGCGAGCCACTTGACAATCTATCAACAAAATTAACAACTTGAGGAACTTAAGACCAGTTATGATACAAATTGCGAGGCGACATACACTTAAGTTTTTCACGAATAGTCTTCACATATAATAGACCTGTAAGTTAACAGTTGAATTGAGTAAACTTGACAAATTCAATGGGGGTTAGAATACTCTTAAAATTAAACTTTAATACGAACTAAATAAAATTCAGGGTAACAAAAGTTGAAATAAGCGCTTATAATTAAAAAAGGATAATATATTGCCTGTTAATAGTTCTGATGAGCCCTGCCTTATGACTTCTGTATAGTTTTTAGTTGCTTAATATTTTAGAGTTTTTAAGTTAAATAAAACAAAAGCGATACCGTGCATGGCCAACACATTTTTACCATAACAATAACTGGAAGTACGAAGCTAAAGTAAAGGTGCATTTCCTTAAGTTTATTGTAAATAGAATAGTTTCGTTAAATATTTAGAGATTACCTCACTTTTGTGTACTGGTTAAATTGTAACGCAAAATCCTAAGTAACAGGATGCTGACATGACCTTATATTTTAACGTTGTGGATCTTAGTTTGGGCTTGTTAGTATTTTAGGTTATATTGAGACTCACGAACAGCTTAAAATAATAACCCAGTGAATTTTTCTACTAGGTTTATGTCTAATTTGTAAAACATCTTACAAGTTATTAACTATGTAAAAAACTAAACCGAAGCTATGCGTACTTGATCCTCTCCTCAAGTTGCCTGTAAAATATTCTCTCGCTATAATAAACGTGACACTTTTACTTAAAGAAAAATAAAATTGTTAAGGCCACAAATTTTTATGGTCTTAAACTAAAGTTAAAGTTTGCTCAATTAATATTTTTTTAAAAATCTTTAGTAGCTGTCTTCTTAATATTAACATTTGTATTGCTTGCCGGAAAGGCAGTACTTGCGTGCTACACTTCTCTTTCCTTCCATAAAGCTCAGAACAAAAAATTACCTTTAATAATTAAAAAAACCTGTTGAGAACTCGTAAAACAGGGTTTTTTTAATACTGATAGTATTTTGAAAATGTTATTATAATTTAGGTTTCTTAGCTCTTTGCGACTTTTTAAGAAACTTCTTTGTTACCTCTCTCTATTAGATTAAAATGTCTTCCCCACCTTTAAACCTGTAGCAGAACACTTAGTACCCGCGGTTTACCTTAAGGTATAAAACTCAGTCAGCTACAATACTATAACTATGGAACGCACCATTAACATTAAAAAATTCCCTATGCCTGTTTACACCGCGTAAGATTTGTCCCTCCCATACACGCACTTTATAATTCCTTCTGCAGTACACTTTTCTCCTCAGGCTTTCCTTCTTAAGGTAACCCGTTTTATGAACTTATTATTACCAAGGACGGTTCGCACGCAGTGCCTTCCGCTCCCTCACGTTCGTATTTATATTGGTAATTAGAGCTATTAACAATTTATTTTGTTGATTAATATATTTGACGTGAGCTATTCTTTTTAAAAAAAATAGCACTTAGCAAGGGACATTCCCTGACAACTCCCAAACTATTAATCTGCATGAGCGTAATTACCACGGTACTAATAATTATTTCTCGCACACACTAGCATAACCTTTTTTATTGATGTCTACAGTTAATAACCAGTAATAGGCCTGCTCTAAAAGCTAAGGAATTTATAGTGGCACTTATTACACAAAGAATTTTTTGCCTTGCTAAGGTCGTTTAGGTATAAAGTAGACTTTACAAGTATTTAAGAGTTTAAACAGTTATAAAAGGGATAACAAGAACTAGTAATATTTAAAGAAAGGTAATAGGAAGGTCAACAATTGCCTCCGTAATCTCCGGCTGGGTAGACTACCTTTAATTTTTGCTTGGCGTCCCAAATACTTAAGATTTAACGATAATTATTTCTGACTCCTCAAAGAGTTAACAGATCTATATCAAAATTGAATTAATTTTAAGCTAAAAAAGAGAGCAAAACAATCTTTCAACTGCTAATTTACAGGGGAGGAGCACCCGGCCAAAAACATAAAGACGGTTTGTAAAAAAACATACCTTTTCTTAACGATAAAAATTCATGTATCTCATTTAAAATAATATGTACCGCATAAATAAAGAAATTTATAAGTATAAACTAGATACTAGCAAGATTGGTGTTGACATAAATAAACTTTTATTATCAGCGGATATTATATATCTTCAACTAAGTTATAAAACTCCTTGAAGTCTCATAACAAAACGGAAATTTTATTCTAACGAGACAGAATTTGCTCTTTTCCCCTTAATAAGGCAAATGTAACTTGTTATAACCATAGTCTCTATTAATGCTGTTCACATTAGTGTTAAATTGGGAAATGGCCTCTGCTCTAAAAATACTTTTTATAAAAAAAAGGTTGTTTTATTACAAACTCCGCAAAACACAAAACCCGTACTTTTAACCTAATGGGAAAGTGGAGTCAAAAGAATTTTTTAAAAATAGCAAGTGACTCTGTGAAAAGCACAAAAGAAAGCATTTGGACGTCACTAAGACCACGCTGTCTTCAGTGGCTGCAAGAAACATTTCAACGAAAAAAGTAAAGTAATATAAACTAGTGCGTATAGAATTACGTGGGTCGAAAGACTCAACCGCGCTTGTTACCGCTTCACCTCCACATAAACAGTGCTATACACGGAGGTCTTCCACTGCTTATTGTCGGCGTCGACCAGCATCGACTCTACCCGGCATACATACCTTGAGCAAAGGAGAAAAGCAAATAATATTAAGCAGCGACAAGTGGAAGCAAAGCGTTGCCCCACCTCCCAACGTCATTGAAAAGAATAGCAAAGCGTGAGGTGAAGTAGCCGTCTTTAATCTTCACGCGGCAACGCTGGTAAGGCTCCGATTCCCTCTGGATAACACTTTGCAAAAAGTACCACAATGTGTTGAGGCACACTGCTACCCCGCTTTCCTGGTTATTCTCTGCAGGGGGGTGACTCACTGTAAAAAGATCAAGTTCGACCCACGTACACCGCCGGGGGCCTAGAAGAGGAAGTCAAAGTAAGGGGCGAATAAGAGGCAAGATATTCAAAGTACATTCCCCTAGGATATGCAGAAGGCCTTCAACTTGAACGATAAGTTGAACGCCTTTTGTAAATTTTTATTTATGTTCCCGGAAAAGAAAGAAGCTGAGCAACCTTCTTCGACTACTAGAGGATCGTCGGGTTTGTTATAGGGAGTAGTTGTGAGCTGTAAAACATTCGTTTGCAGAATAAAAGCCGAGAGAGCAGAAACAAACCTTCAGATCGTACAACCTGCACGAACGGAAAAAAAAGGAGGGGACGGGGAAGGGCGCCAAGAGCAAGGCAGAGCAGAGCTTTAAAAGACAAGTACACCGCTAAATCAAGTAATGAACAAGGATCGAATGGGAGGTGACTATAGAGGCAGATGGTGGCTACCCATTCGTGGGAAGTCTCGGAAGGCATAGCAGTCAATTTGGCAATAAAGGCGTTGCATATGGAGTCCATGCGCGAAGCGTGGTAGCAGTACGAGGGAAGAACCTTTTTACAAAGATCACCAGAACACTCTTTCTCTGCGTGCAGATAACTCATGAAGAGACTGAGTGAGAAGGAGTGCTGCGAAGGACAAGTACAAGTACCAGAGTGCTGCATACTTGCCTCGGGCTTCTCCTGAAAAAAACAATCTCGAAATTGTTCTACATAGGACTATGCAGTAGTGCTGGAGACTGCAAGCAACGAGCCGAAAAAAGCTGTTACGATAGGACAACACGGATTAAAATGTGTCTAATGACCTCTTAATTGTAGTGAAGGATTCTTCATCGATATCAAAGAAAGAGAAGCGTAAAGTGTGATAAGAAGATGCAAGTTGGGCAAACAAATCGCTCTTCGCTAACAACTGTTGGCGGGGAAAGTGGGGTTAACCAGATAAACTAATATAAAAAATAGTGGCAGTGATGAGTGCTGGCTGACCTCCACTGAGAAGTGAAGCGTCGAGCAGTTTTTGCTAGACTGCAACAACGCCACGAGTCCAAGAAAGTTGTTAAAATATTCCGCGCGTAGAGTCATGAAGGTTAACTGAAACGCAAATTGGTTTGGAAGCCGTCGAGAGGCCTAAAGATAGGTAGGAAGAGGGAGTGACGCAAGCTTAAAAGGGTCACATGGTAAATATCAGTTACGCACTTTGAGGGAGCTGATGGCCTCCGTGTAAAGTGACAGGGAAGCCGAGCACTGATCGCAAAGACTGCGGAAATTAGTGGTCCCCCGATATGCAGAAGAGGCAAGAATGGCCACAAGGCGGGTCTCTGCCGCGCACATGTCCCGGAGAGAGGCAAACCAGTAGTAGTAGTGCGGAGACGAGGCCTCGTGCAAAAAATGAATACCAGATGAAGACGTTAATGGCAGCGTACAACCATCTCGAGTAGATGTTGAAGCACTCCGTCCACTTGGAAACATCCCGCCCGAAGCATATTCCGCGCAAAGAGGTAAAGGGACCAAGTATCCTCTACGTATACTGCGCATGACCACGGCGGCAACGTGACGGAGGACAGGGCTCAAAAAACCAAACTGACTGCTCGCTTTAAGTGAGGCAACTGCATTCTCCGGACTGAAATGCAGAGCTAGGGACCAGCGAGAGAGAAGAGCGCAGATGTCCGAGAGCAGAAGCTGCATAGAAGAAAAAGGAGCAAACGAGACACTAGCGATAATGTGGGCATATACGAAGAAGTCGACGTTACGGCTGGCCGCTTCGGAACTCAGCAACTCGCAAAGGCGATCTTTCACTGCAAGAACTTCAGAGGGAGCACGCTTAAGACAGTAACGAAGCCACTTTAGCAAATACAAAGAGGATTTTTCTATCCAATAAATTATGCAGAATGCAAGTAAAGGGGTGGCGAATCTAATAAGGTCTAGAAAAATACCTGTCGGGATTAACAAGTTCGCAATGGCCAACAAGACAAAAGGACGAATGGACACAAAAAGCAGAAAAATATGACACAGAGAATTTAACAGACGCTATTATATTCAATTAAAAAGTAAAAGAGGAAAAAAAATGATAATAACCCTTAGCAAGTCGATGCGAAGTTTGCAAACTTTTAATATACATATTGCTGCCTTACACCACTCAAAAACAACCTTAGCTATAAAAGCAAATATAAAGCAGCGGAGTACACCCCAAGGGGAAAAAACGCAATGATCGTCAAGTATTACAGTCTGCAGAGTCGGGGTCGCAAGCCGAGACGGCAGCCAAGACCTCAAGATAGGAAACAAAGAGCAGAAGATTACCGCGTTCGTTTTTAAGTATAACAGTGGCCTCTGAAAAGCATCTGGCGCGGGAATAACAGAGCCCTGCAAAAACAGTGGAGTGGCACATAATAAGCGGCGGACTAAACACGATAATATAGAAGTGACGGGAAATACCACTTTATAGACTAAAATAAAACAAATCCGCAGACACGTCCGAGACCATACTTACACCAAAAGAAAAGGGACATCGAAATAAACCTGATGCAGAATCACGCAAGGTTGCTACGCTCGACACCGAGCTCCGGTGAATCTTGCAGAGAATCTGATAGGCAAGAGGACGGTGACTCAAAGAGACGATGGAATAGAGACACTGCGAGAAAGATGAGAAGTAAAACCAGAAAGTAAGGGAGGAGAGAACCTCAAAGTGCTCCCTTTCAAAAAGTTCGGGGTAGCCGTTGGAAAGCTTCAACAAGTTGATCAAACAAACTCTGCGAACGGATTCTCTCGGATCCTTGATATAAGCCGTGCAAAGGAGAGCAACCTACCAGTCTCACTGTGAGCCACAAGTTCCGCTAGGGAGCAGCCAGCGAACCTGGTCCTTCACATGTGAACCCGATCTCAAGGCAAGCGTAGTTAAAGTGTCGAGAATGACAACCACAAAGCTTTTGGCGGAAAAGGAGCGAAGAAGTTTTAAGCATACTCGCCGGGACTATGTTTAGAAAGTGAAACTTCCAATTTAAAACGGGAGCAAAAGACTAATAATGCGCAAAATAAAAACTTGAGTATTCATCTCCATCGTGTAACGCAATTGTCCGAAGACAGAAAGAAGGCTCAACTTAATTTCTTCAGATATTTCTTTATCTTATTATATATATAATATAAGTACTATAGAAAAGAACATGGAGTTCTCTACAGTTAAAAAAGAAGTATATAAAAAAGACCCTCTATTAACAAAGTAAGTTTATGAAAAGCGCTTTCAGCAAAAGATCGGGAGTGAAAACTAAGCCTTAAGTATAAGTTAATATTTATATAATCCTGCAACAATATAGTGGGAGAGCACACCTCTTCAAGGCAATAGCAGCTGCCTTTACCTCGACTTCGTAAGGCGAGTAAAGAGAGTTTAATATACTACCACTTTGTTAAAAAAGTTCAATAAAGCTGAAAGATGAGCAACCTGTGGTGTATTTTCTTATGATTTCTTAGAACTCGTGAAAGAGCTGAATAAACGCTATACAAAAAAATGAACTAGTATAAGCGCAATATTATTACAACGACAGCTGTGGATATATACTAAAGTGTCAACGAACGAGCGATGGGGTCATTTTGGTGTGAGACAATTATAAATCTTCTTGCAACATCGTTAATAGCATAAAGACAACCTAAAAAATCAGTTTAGTACAAAAAAATAGCTATTAATTGTACCCATATGACTCTGAGTCAACTTAAAGACTTGATAAACATAAAAACGCAAAACATTATCACTGTAAGAAATATTGAACTTAAAGTATAAATATTAAAGTTAAGTGCATACCCCTCTCGAAATAACTCGGATAGCCTAATAACGGCTGTATTAACGGTGGTGGGAAAAGGGTATCTATCAAAAAAAATTGGAAATTGTATAAGAGCTTTAAACTTTTCTTCTCGGCTTCTAGAATGCAAGCCTATATAAATACGAATAATAAAAACAAATTATTTTTAATCTTGAAAAAGGCTAAACCTTTTTTATTATTATTAAAAGAAATTTTAATATTAATATGAATTATATATATATATAAAGTATAGCGAAACCTTGATTAAGCTCTCCAAGCCTCTTTGAACCGTCTTCAAAACCAATAGAGCTATTAGTGCGACTGTTTGACATATAAGATAAAAACCTCAACGAGAAGAGGAAAGAGGAGGCAGCCCCCCTCTGCCTTGTAAACGTTTAGGGCTCAAAACTTCCTTTTAACAGAATATTTTCGTCTTATTAATTTGGCTGTAGCTATCACATGACCAAATGGTTCAACCTTATTAGAATTTGTGAGGACAAAAGTATAAAGCCGCCCGGCCGCCCCGGCCGCCCCGCGATGCCGGGAATTGTAACCAAGACCTTGTGTTAGCACCTTGACGCTCTCTTAACCCCTGAGCTACTACAACTCCTGACTTCGTTGTGATGGGATTTACGTCTTTAACCTGCTGAACTTTGACCCATAAAATGGAACTTTGGAACATTTATATTCAACACCTTTCGTAAGTTGCGAGGATAAACTTTGCGTAGACCCAGTAATAATAGACAAGCTAACTGGATACAATTTCTGTGAAGTGGGTAAAAAAATAGTCCTAAACAACGAACCGGCATTTCACCATACAACGTTATATACAGCTTAATCAAATCACCAAATTTTGAAAAATTACAAAGAAAACAATTTATATAACTTTTTAAACGATACAATCACAGTTTTAAAAAAATAATTAAAGCTGCTTCAGGTAGGTTACAACTAAAAGTAATTATGATTCCAACTCACGCATGAGGTAGATCCTAACTTCCAAAGACCCGTCGCTAATAGCGATTATTAGTCTGGAATGCGAATGGCATTTAGAGTAAAAAACCATGAGCCCCCGGTGCTGTTACGTGAAAGGATTGATGTGTGCAACTTTTTACTTATCGCCAAGACAGATTTGTTGCACGCGGCGGAGGCGTGACTGTCTTGGTAAAACGGAGCATTCATTTCCCTTTATATCTCTGCCACCTCTACATTGTCGAGGCAGTGGGAATTTTTCTAAGTATGACCGACTAGGGGCCCGTGTCTGTTTTCGCTGTCTACAAATTCCCTTGGAAGCTACTACCGCTCTTCGATTTGGTCGCCATCCATCGGGTGACTCCTCTGCTGTTTTGTGCGGAGATCTCAATTACAAGCATCCTTTATGAAAAAGCCGAGCCGATAAGTCAATTGGCCACATACTGGAGCCCTATGCCGTGTGCACGGACTGCGCATACTAGGCCCTTAGCGAACAACACCACTTGGCACCTATAGACAACCATGTACGCACAGGATATCGCCTTACTAAAAGATATACGCCCCACAACGGCAATTGAAGCGCTCCATGAGCTATCCTCCTGTCGCATTCCAGTTATTCTCGAAGGACACACCGAAGACTACCACCCGCTTTATCAACTGATACAAATACGCTGAGTTCTTAGAAACCACTATCCCACCCGCCCTGTTGGAGGACGCTGTCGCCTTGTTCGAAAGCACATTGAAGAGGTCTTGCACTAATGCCATGACAACTCCTGAAGTAAATAACGCCTCGTTCACCTGACAAACGAACTAAAGGCACTTACTTGCCAACGTCGACGTCTTATCCGGGTGGTCCTGTTGTCACAAAGCGCCGAAGATCAACATGCCCTTATTTGACTGCCCAGGTGTAGTAGTAAGAAGCTAATGGCCCTTTTAAACAATAAATAGGAGACCAAGCTGCACCATATATTCGTATTGGGCAACGGCAGTCTCTCCTTTTTTCTGAAATTTGTGAAAAAGATCGAAAAATCGAGGACCTGCCACACTACCGCCCCTTTGTGAAGATAATATAGTGGCCTAGAGTGATGAAGACAAAGCTACGCTTTTCGCTAATCTCCTTTCTACCCCAAACGTGCCAGCTGCTCACTTAGCTGCCACTGCTTACCCCTTCCGATGTCAACGAACCGTTTAAACTAGTTAATGTTGGCGAGGTTCAAGCGAATGTCGAAGTGCTACACGTACGAAAAGCACCTGGGCCCGATGACATCACTAAAATGTTAAAAAAAATGCTGTTAACAGGGAAGCATTATCTGCACCTCCTAGTGGTACTTGGCGCCTACCCGATCTGATGGAAGACGGCGACCGTTGTGATGTCTGCATAAGACATTTAAACCGGAATCAGTAACTAGCACGTACCGACCCATTAGTCTCCTGTTAGCTGTCGGCAAAGTGGGTGGGTAAGGAAGTTTTACTGCGCCGGCTTAAAGAGCTCGTTGAAGCTGGAGGCGTCTTGCCGGAGTTTCAGTTTGAATTTCGGCGAGGACATCCAACGACCCAGCGACTCCTCCGCTTAACTGAATGGACCACTCGCGCTTTTAACCATAAGAAGGCAACAGGCTCTGTCTTGAAAAAGCATTTGATCAAGTTTTGCTTGAAAGTCTGCTGCACAAACCGCGCTCGTTATCCGCTCCCCATGGCCTTTACAACGTGCTGTAATCATCGAAAACTGACCGCGTCGTCAGCGGGCGCGTGGGAGACACACATTCGCCGCTCCAATTTCTGACAACAGGGATCCTCCCAGGGATCACTTCTTTCGTTCCTTTTCATTGAATTTTACATGAGCGACTTGCCCTTGTCGTCAAAACCACACACATGATCGACCTCTACGCCGATAATACAACCGTTTACTCAAGGTTGGTCCCCCGTCTTGCTATGCAAGCATCTACAGCGCTGTCCTGAAAGACCTTTGCTTCCTGGCAGCCGCACATGGATTATGTAGTAGCGAGGGTCAAGGCAGAAACTAAAGCGCGGTACCCTTTACTACGCCAACAGCAAGCTTTCTCTGCAAAACAAACGGCAGTCGTATGTCATATCCGGCCATTAATGACATACGCGCCTGCTGCTCGGACCTTCTACTCCACTGCATAGCATCGACACTTCAAGTGCAACAAAACAATTGCTGCGCGTGGAGCTCTTCACCCTTTAGACGTCGTCTTCCAACGTAATGCCAACGCCTTTTACGGCATGCTAGCCAGGCGCACTAATCACCTACTGGTGCCATGGGACGGGTGTTCACCACCCACGTGAGGAGCATAAGCGCTAATTTTTACTTGTAGACAATGACACTTTTTCGATTGAAGCTAATGTAACAGATCTGGGATCGCTCCCGATTGAAAGCTCGAGTATTCGAATTTTTTTGACTCGGTCGAGCACAGAAACTGTCATTTAAACATAAAATAAATATTTGTTGTTGTTAACTCGACTGGACACCAGAAAATGCTATTATACAATAAATAACGTCTTAACAACCACCTTTTGGAGTTGGAGTAAACTTTGACAGAGTAAAAATGAAATGCTCTGAGGAAGCGCGGAATCATCAAAGTCTCTAAGCTGGAGAAATTACGAACTCACAAAACTCCTAGCTCGTATTTGAGCCCATATAAAGTTAGTCGTAAAAAAGTAGCTCAACCTTATAATTAATATAAAATTTATTTCTCTTTAGAGTTTATTTTAAAAAATACTTAATAACTTAAATATTTGCATTAGGCGAGAAATATCAACTAGCAATTCATGCCTTTAAAACAAGGTTTTAGTTGCATGCATCTTAAAAATAGTCTATTCTAAAATTTTAGCTATAAAAAAATATTAAAATTTATCAAAAAAATGATTATTTTAATTCCATATTAAAGTGTAAATCAATTATAAAGATACTCTTTTGTGTCGTTTAGAAGAAATTTAAAAAGTTTCAGACAGACAGATCTTTGTCTAGTAAGTGCTTTGTTAACTCTATATATTTATAACAAATATAAAAAGCTGCAACTGAAAAGTATTACATAATCGTATTTCTTAACAAAAAAATGTCCTTAATTATATAAATATTGAGATTATATTTTATTTTATTTGGTCAATGTAATACTTGTTTGAACAAATAACATTTGAACAAAGCGACACAATGTTTTCAAAAGAATTGCTATTTTGTTAAAAAAATATCGTAAATTACATTTTTAAATCACTAAGTTAAATTCTTTTTTACGCAAACGTTTCTTTTCTTTATTACAATTTATAAATCGTTATACTTTAATTTTTTCCTTCCATTTTCCTTCACTCAGGAATCTTACTAGCAAGTGAGGATGAATATCCCCGCTAGACTTTCAGCAATATGTTATCATTTATAGCATAAATCCTGTTTGGAATGCTGATGGCCTTACGGGCTATAAAAAAAAGTGAGCTCCAGGAGTTGACCAGTAGAATGAATATTGACATTTTTAATATCAGAATCCCATCTTGAAAAACAGCAATAAGTTTTATATACCAAATTATAATGTATATCGACTAGATCGGGAAACACGGGAGATGGAGGCGCAGCTATACTTTCTAAAGCACTCAATAAATTTACCAAATTTTATAAATCTATATGCATAACTTTAAAAAAACCTGGTTCAGCGAATATTATTTCCTGTTATAAATCGCCTGGGAAAGAATTATTGAAGGAGGACCTAAATAACTTATTTAACAATACCAACCCGGTCATATTTGTGGAGACATAAATAGCAAGCATCCTTTACGGAACAGCAGGAAGGTTAATCCAAATGGTAAGATCCTAGGACATTGGACGAACAATAATGGCAAGGCAATCCTTGTTTTGGTCCCCACCCACACATCGCTCACCGTTGATGCGTTAGACATAGCTTCACTAAAGAACATTTCTCTTCTTGTGCGCATTACTAACAATTAATTATTATCAGATTACTACCCGTTGCTGTTGCTGGTTGGAGATTTAAGTTAGGTCGAAGTAGAGAGGTAACCAATTGGAATCTTTTCAAAAACAATGGTTAAGTTCCACTATATCCGATTCCCTCCCGTCTGAAATTGATGCAGCTCATTTTTTTTTTTTAAAAAAACAATAAATTACTCAAAGAACTCATTAACAACTCAGAAAATAGTAAATAATTTTAAATATATCCTTGTCTCTTCTTAAAGGACTTATTAGTAAACGTAGGATTAAAAAGAATACTTATGGAAAGTCGAGCCCCATGTGACAAGTTAACCTTTAACAAAATAAGTAATGCGGTTAAACGTGAATAAAATGGTTTTTATAACAACCTTTGGGATATGAAGCTACAACCTTTAAAGTCGTCCGTTGATTTTATAAAAAGTTGATAAAATCTTTTAAAACTGAAATAAGAATGATTGATATGCAACTTTTTTTTAAAATATAAAGGAGAAATTGTTTATTCCAACAAGCAAAAGGCGAACAAATTCGCAGAAAGCTTGTCCCTCAGTGCAAGCCCTCCAATATTTTTAATGATGGGCAAATGAATTTTTCGTACATAACCGAATACCATTTTACTTCCACAAAGATGCACCACCTATAGCTTCTCAGGTGTTTACGAATGAAAAGGAGGTTCAAACTGAAATAATAATAATAAAAATTCATAAAATTAAAATTGACTAAAGTAGGGACTCTAATAGTATATCAAATAGGATGCTAATATATCTTCCTCCAGTGACTGTTATGTACCTTTCAAAACTAGTTAACTCTATTTTTTATCAGGGCTACTTTCCTACAAGCTGGAAACCAATCAGAAGTTATATTTATACCAAAAAGTAACCATACTAACAACTATGCTAAAGTAATTAGTTTACTTTCGGGTTTATGGCAAATTGCTGATTCCATATTCTTCAGCTTGAAAAAAAATCAGCAAATTCTAATCTTGTCCCCCCACACCAATTTGAATTCGAACAAAGCAACTTTTAAGGATCGTAAAGAACAATAAAAAAGCCTTTGATTACAAGAAATCAGCAGTTATGGTATTCTTAAATGTTGAAAAAGCTTTCGATAGCGTCTGCTATGAAGGACTTATAAACTAATTATTTACAAATTGACAGAATACCTTATGCGCGTGCTATATTCACTTCTTTGCAATAGATCATTAGTCGTACGAATAGTATAAAACTTGTCCGTACTCAGGGATCTCTACTATCACCTTAATTATACTCCCTGTATACATGCGTCATACCCTCTCATACCAACAAAGTTTCCCTAGCTTTATACGCCGAAGACACTGCCATATATTGTAGTTGGAAATCCACTGCATTAGCTATAAAATATGTGCAGACCTTCTTTATACGTTTAAAATATGGTTTGCAAAGTGGAAAATTACGATAAACCCTAACAAAGCCATGCGAGTGATCAATTGAAAAAAAAGAAAAAGGGGAAAAATTAAAGCTGGAATCAAGTAAATAACTTGGCGTTGATATTGAGTCTAGACTTAACTGGAAGCGTCATATTAATTGTATTGTTAAATTAATATAACTTCTGCTTTACACCCTCTTATCTGCAAAAGAAGTATTTCGATTCTTAAAATAAACTCCTTATATAGAAAGCTATTATTAGGCCCAATATTAGTTACGCAGCTGTCTCATGGCCCTACCGCTCGACTTTGCATATGAACAAACTTAAGTTCTTTAATACAATCTCTTTAGAGTGTTCACAGGTGCACCTTGGTTTATGCGAAATTCCAATTATATCTTGTATGGGAGATTGAACCTCTTTCGCTTTACCCTAAACGGATGGCTGAAGAACATACGAAAACACCCCAACAATTTAGTAACGCCTTAAGCTATACTCTCGCACATTTTTATAATATAAACGACCTAAACATTTATTGGGTCTATCAAAGAAAACTGAGTATCGAAAAGTCTTAAGGACGTTTATTACATGATTATAATATTTTATTGAAGGGGGGGAGCGGAATGTGGCAACTGCATAAAATCGCAAAGATAAGCTGTCTTCATGTTACAATAGATGACCCGAGAGAATTAATCTGTAAAGGAGGGCTACCCTCCTTAACCCTCGCCGTAATGGAATGGTTTAAATTAAGCAGTTTAAGTTATAGCTAATATAACGACTGTAGGTATGTCAAAACGATAAATAAGTAACTCCCCTTTGTCATTATACCCTTGCTCATTGTCTTCGTGTGGGCCGAGTGCCTGTAGTTAAATGTTTCTCACCACTGTACAAGCAACTCCAGTGGTTTAGATAAAGCAGGAAGGGGCCACAATCAAGGCGGCAAAGAACAAAACTATTAATACATACGTGTGCTGGCACCGCCGGCGCTGCTAACCTAGACTGATCAAGCGAAACTTTAAAGGAATTTTTTTTTCGGGCAAATGAAGAGAATTATTTTATTAAGGGTGACCCCATAATGCCCAAATTATTAATAAAAACAAGTACCCCACAACAAAGGGTCAAAAAATTTTCTTGTTCTCCGCACTTTGCTAAAAACACAGTAGAGGGATAAAAGGACAGATCTAATTACTGTTTAATATTTATATTTTTAAGGTAAACTTATTTCTTAAACGGTACCCACGTAAGTAAAGAACGTAGATAATCCAAGCAAGATAAAGCATATAACACTAAGACTAAATTTTTTTAATAACTTTTTTTTTAATTAAAAAAAATTAAACGAAATGGTTTGCTCAATTTAGTGCTCTATTAAGAATATTGGTTCCAGTCAACATAAACCAGATAAGTTACGGTACCTCTGTGGTTTCTAGTGAGCGAAGGGCAGCCCTTTGGTGGATGCTTCACTTGAAAACAACCCTTCCGTATCTATTTTGACTAAAACCCCAATCAAAACCGGAGCCCCACAATATAACATGAGTTCCACGCAAATAAATAAAATTTTATTAACAGCTTTTTTTTGCGATATTAGAGGATCATGGTAAAATTTATCGTGAAAGAGTTGCTCGCAGTTTTAAGTACAACCAAATTACCGCTAACTCGAATACCGAAAGCCTGAAATGTCCCGCTCTTTGCTTAACTCCTTCTTATATATATATATGTTTAATAATACCAAAGTGGTAACCTCTGCTAAAGTTACAGAACAAGTGGCCTTATAGAGTATATAGAATATAAAAATAAGCCTTATTGCTCAAAAAAAACCATCTTTAAATATTATAAGATCTCAACACTTTGCCACTTCTTGTTCAATTTGTTTTAAAAGCTCTGTTAACTTATTAAAAGCGGGGCGTTTTTCAGGGTCCAGCTCCCAGCAATCATGCATCATCTGGGCCGTGCCGGTCCGCAATAATAAGTAGGATGATAGGCTTTAAATATAGAAAGATATCATATAAGTTGCCTGAGTGTATGAGCAGGGGCAGCTTTCTGGTGACGGTAAACGAAATCCAGCCAGCAGCGCTCTTAAAAGATCTTCATCTCCCAGGTCTTCATTATAAAACCTCTAACTTATCTATGCTATCACCAAACAGTATCATTGTAAATAAACCGTCGTATAGGTCTCCTCCGTCAAGGGCAATTTCCATGCAAAGTACACCAAAAGACCAAATGTCCGACTTTAAGGATATGTGCTTTTCGCTGTCTTTTAGAAGCTATCATGAAGGTAGACATGTTTGTGGTGCGGCAACAAGTTGGAGTGCAGAAACAAACCTCGGGGGCCATATGTTTCCGAGAAACGAGGTTGTGGTGTCTAAACCCCTGCAGCATCATATCATGGAAGGACTGTGGTTCACCGAGGAGACACGCAAGATCAAAACCGCTGATGACGCACTGCCCACCTTTAGTCAAAAAGACGTTCTTTGCCTGAAGAGATCTGTGCAGTATTTCTATAAGACTATATTATCAAGCCAACAGCGAAGACGTTTTTTGTCTTTCTTTACTCTTCTGCTCGACGTACTGCATCCCGGAGGCGCATTGACGGGCTATTTTGACTTTTTCTTTCCAAGTCAACTGATTATTCCCAGTTTTCTATATTGGAGAGTTAACTTCGTTGGCAAGTGGCGGAATTCTCCACTTAAGTTACCCGCTTTAGATGTTCACGGAGATTCCCTTCGGGGCAGTAGTCTAAAGCTATTAAAAGCGGAAATTCGTCGGTACAGATGCTGTAAACATAAAGTTTAAGTTTAATTTAGCTAAATTAAGAAATTAATAGCTTCTTTACCACTTAACTTTTATAATATTGGGATGATCAAGTTTCACCAAAAACAATACTTCAATAAAAAATAAGTGCGGAGGAAGAGTATTTGGCTTAAGAGCTTTAATAAACACCTTGGAAACATTAAAAATTTGTAGTACCACCAGCTTATTATAAAGATCTACAAAACCTTTTGTCTCTTGTAGGTGCTTAGGTAAGTTGTGCCAAATTGTCCCACTCCCAACTCCTTTTCGACAAATATTAAGCTGCGCGCTACTTCGTACTGTGCATGTGTAAAAAGAATTGTTACTACGAAGGTAGAGAAAAGAAAATGGTCTTAACTTTTCTTTTTACATTGAAAGGCACAAGGTCGCTTGGGCACGCCAAGGTTAACCTACAGCATAGCACCCCTTGACTTTCGCGGTAGTGCAGCAGCAACTCGTTAATATTTTTGAAATACTCCCCTTTTATAATATACATCTATTTAAAGAAAGTTGATGAAGGGTTTGAAGTTTTTTATTGAATTTATTATTACCGAGTTACGCTCAGAATCTTTTATCACGTAGTGCTTCACAGAGTCAAACTCGTCTGGCGCACAAGATCATTTAATTTTTCAGTTATACATAAAAAAGCTTGGTGCCTTTAACTGACAAGATAAGCGTATGGCGAGAGCTCTTTCTCAACTAAATTTATTATTAGAAAGATATAGCATAGGTATATTCTCTTCATAAAATATAAATCTAATATTAATTTTTAAAAATATTATACCAAGTAGGCACCACTTTTTCCTAGCACTAACAGTAACCTTTCGGCTTCTGGACGAGTTATATTACCATGGAAACACTCAATAACGTTTTTTTGGTCGTCTAAGTAAAGTATTTACTAAATGACAGACGTAACAATTAGAGCTGTAAAAGTACAGAAAAATATTTTACCAGTAACAGAGAGAGTACGACTTGAAATTCCATCTTGCGAGAATAACAAGCTTAAGTAGAAAAAATATGTTTATAATTATCAAATTAGTTTTTTGGAGAACACAGCTATATTTTTGTACTGAAAAAAAAAAAGTTTAACCCATCCCCATGATCAGATTCCAAAAAAACTAGACCGTCAGAATTAAAGTCCACCGGTAAGTTGTTAATTTGTTCGGAGTTCTTTGCCGAAAATTCTTTTTTAACTAGGATAATGTATATATAACTGTAAGGGATATACTTAAAATTTAAAGCTACTACAGTTTAGCTAACCAAATAACTTGGGCAGTAGTTTCATATGATGTAGGTCTTTTCCTTAAAATAATTAGTAAATACGACTAAACTTGTTAAAGTTTGCTCTACCACCTTTTTTTATAACTATATTTAGCAATATTTAATCTCAATCTGGTAGTATCAACCAATGTGCTACCGCGATCTAACAGCAAGCCATAAACTATACAGAAACATCCCCTAAAAAACATTTTATTGGTTGAGAATGCTTGATTTAAAATAAACCACATTTAGCTAAATCATTTTACATCGTAAGTTTATAAAAAAATTTCCGCAATACTCAATTTTGGAAGTTGGGTTTAGTGCGATTTAGTTTTTTTTTTAAGGTTAAAATCCTTGCCACAATTTCTAATGTTGTGGCCAGTTTTAGTCCTAAAGATCTTCTGACAACAACTGTAATTCCCACACGCCGTGCATATAAGCGATATAACTTCGGTTCGAATCATTATTTACTCCGTGCTTTAAATATTTCTGTAAAAAATAAATCCCTCTTTTTAGGGGCTCCTCTCTTTGGTGAGGGGCTCATAGCCGGGGAGACCTGGCTGGCAGTGATGCTGGCCGGTGTCTCCAGGTGGCCTCGAGTGCCTAGGGCTGTCATTCCCGGTAGTGGTTTTTTTGGCGGTTTTCCACCATATTAGGTGGAACGGAGGGAGTCCGGGACTATGTCTCCCGCTTTTTCAGCCCTTCAGGAAAGTTATGATAGCCCTATGAAGAGCGTGCACTGGCGGGCTCTCGCCTTCAATCAACCATGCTGCTGGTGGAATACAGATTAAGCAGTCTTAGATCCCCCAAGGGATGACAAACCTCCCCCACCCTCCCAACATTTTTCTTGTACAATCGTATTTTTGGCTCCTCTTCGCCTATAGGATATTGTAAATATATGTTTTCAATGTAAATTTGTTAACACGTTCCTTATTTATTTGTGGTGCATTAAGTATTATTAAATTTTTTGGTATAATATTATTCCCACTTATTGCCATTTATTAATTTATGTTGAAGCTTTTAACTACTAAATTAACATAAAAACGTAGTCTTCAGAGACAAAGCTGGATATTTACACAGTAAAGTCGCGTACACTTCGCTACAATATAAGTAATTATGAGTAACATAGACAGGAGATTGTCAGTACGTGTTTAAATAAAAGATTTCTGCTTAACGCATGGATAACCACTTGATGGGTTAATTTAGTGAGAGCAACAATGTATATTTTAATTTTAAAGATAAATTGCTCGATAATTCACGTTTAAATTTCAAACAAAACATATCCGAACAGAGAGCCAACTAACGTGCCAATCCCCGGCTTGATTAACGTTCCCAGTGAAGAAAAAAAAGTCCCTGCATAAAAAAAATAGAAGTAAACGTAAAAGTAAATTAATACTATTTAAAAATTTAAGTATAAATGTTTTCTTATAAGCAATAAGTATATACAATATTTGCTTTGTAATGCTTTCTATCTGGTTTATTTTCCTTATTTATTATAATAAATTTGAAATTGAAATAAAGAAGACTTAAAAAATTTGAAAGTAAAAGCTAAAAAACTATATATAATAAAGAAAATAACCAGTTGCAATTGTGAGAATCGCCTGAAGTAATTTAATTTTTGATCTTTCAAAGAAGGTTTGAATACCCTTCCAAAAAAATAAAAGCAATACATAAAATGGTCTACGGCATAGTTATTAATATTTTCAAGATAAATAAAATATAACGAGAATAATATTTGAAAATTATAACTCCGAATACTTAAAAATATGAAGTGCAGGTAAAAAATAACAACTAAAGTTCGTTATATGCAGAAATGCTCTATTATAAAATCTTATGCTAAATATAATAACATAGAATTAGTAAACTTTAATAGGAGTACATATAATAACTATTATTCAACACTTATTAATAAAAAACAAGAATACATAAAAATAATTATAAAGAATTACTTTATTTTTTATTTTTAAGTTAATATTCGCGGGACGATCACCAGTAATATCAACAATAAAAAAAAAATCTGACAGAGGAAAGCAATAACAAAATAAAAAAGCCTGCAGTTAAATTAAAATAAGTTAATAAAATAAGGATGGTTTTTTCGAGCAAACCTCCTCGACGAACCAAATGGACAACGTTGCTAACAAAATTGCCAGTGGCGTAGTGCTGCACATATACAAGGCAGTTTTCAATTTACTCTGCGTCCTCACGTACTTGCGAACAGCCGATCTAGATACGTCTAATAAAATATGGTTACAAGTTAACGGTGTCAGTAATATGCATATAACGAAGATAATAAAAAAGAACCTTTCATAAGTTTACTACATATCCTTTTTGAAAAACAATTAAGGGAAGCCAACTGTAGGAAAACTTTCGTAAACTTTCACAAAAATATTTTGTAAAAGAATTGCGAACATACAAAATAAATGGTTTACAATATAGGTGAGAAGTTATAAAAGAAAGAGATAGCAGGTTATAAGTTTACCTAACTAGTAGTACTTTATTAAACTGAACAATAAATATATTTAAAGAAAAAGAAAGTCAAAGACTTTAAGCACAAAATAGTTTAAAAAAGAAGGTATAAAGTAAGTACTTGATAACTTAACTCACGCCCTATTCCATAAACAAAACTTTTCGGTAATTTATTTACTTTTTTTTTTTTCAAACTGAGTAAACCTTCAAGTAAAGCAACCTTCAATCAATAAAAAAAAATTGAACTACAATATAGTACAACAAGTGAATAAAACTAACAACTCGTTTAAAATTAACGACTATTTAATAAATATTGCTAACTTTAAAAAGCGTAAAACTTAAGATATAAGGGCAAATAGGGCTTAGTAAATCCCTTTTTGTTTCAAAGTAATAACTCTTATCGTAATGTTCCTTAGTAGCTAAAGCATTTACAAAGGTACTAAGCGGCATGACAGAAAATGTAGTATTCGTTAATGGTTCAAAGCTTCAGTGTACAGTTATAAAAGTATGTTTACCTACCCTATTTATAAACCAATAAGCGTATTCTGGGTTTCGTAAAAAAAATTACGGGAAATAAGCAACTTTACCACTCTGTACAATTAATTTTTAATAATTAATATAGTTTTTAATTATAATTTTAACATTACCAGTCCCCAAGCAGTTGCTAATATACGTCCCCTAATGATGGCAAGTTTCGTAAAGAAGATCGCTATCTTCACTGTCCTAACAGGTTAAATAGGTAAAACCATCATGCGGCAGCCAGAGCTGCCATCATAATTAGAATTCATGAGGACGAGGTTAAATACGCGACCATCAAAGACCGAAAAAGAGAGTCGCGGCGGTGGAAATCGAACCCACGACCTTGAGCACGCCCGTCAACGCTCGTTATCGCTGAGCTATGACGACATCTCTCGATCTTGATATGATGGTTTTACGTATTTAACCCGTTTCCTCACTTGAGCTACTTGCCGATACCTACCATTGCCTCGCAGCAGTTCTCTACGCACGTGGTTCTAAGCTTTGGAAAAGGGTGGGGCAATAACAGTCTTAGTAGTAATTTGTCTAAAAATTTTATATCGTTCTTAACTTTTCAAAGACACCATCACCAAAGTTATAATATACTTAAAACTTAAAATTAAAAGTGCTAACTAAGTTTTGCAGTCCTAAAAAAATTCACTCTAAGCGTGAAACTTAAAGAAATGCTGAAATTGTATGGAAAGCTCTTGATTAAAACTGCCGTTATCCCTTCTTACACTACTTAAATCTAGTTGTATCATTAATAAGAAGTTGTTGACTAAATATTACCGTTAAATTTTGTATAAATTGGAGTATAATACATGTTTACTAGTGCCACTTTAAAAATAAAGTACGTGATCGCATTTTGTTTGAAAGCTAACCGCATAGGTCATAAAAACGTTTTACTGTTGTTGATTTTATAGGCCTAAAACTTTAGAAACTACTATATCGTGAACAATGAAGCAAAGTAATATAGTGCGTACTATATTACAGGGAAATTTAATGTAGAGTTCATTAATATTAATTTTACCGTAATCATACATATAATAGTTCTTAAGCCGCCAACAATCAATGTAAAAAACGAATTTTTACTAAAGGCTAAAAAATTATTTCCATTTTTGTATAAAGAAATTCTTTTATTGGTATGTCACGAAGATTAAAATTAAAATATTTCATTTTTAGCTTCGTACTATAAAATGAAGCAAAAACTAGACAGCTCTTACTTTACTTAATTTAGTTTAATTTTACTCAGCTGAATTTTTTTTTGTAACATTAATAAAGAGAAAAAATAACATGATTGACTAACTGTCTACTTTTTGATTGGTCATTTTAAGGATACTTTTTTAATAAAATTTCATTGTTTGCGTTATGGATTTGTGTATTGTTCTAAACTTTGCTTTTTGATATCTTGTGATACATACGCTATAACCTTTCATTAAATTATTACTATTTTAAAAGATATATAAATTGCAATATATTGAATGTTTCCTTTTGTACTTGTGTTTAAAGTTAAAGTAGTACTGTTTTTATATTTACCTTGCCCTAGGCTAAGAGCTGAAAGTTAGGGGGCTTAGCTAGCGGCAATGCTGGTCGTTGTCTTCGGGAGGTCTTGAGTTTATTGGGTGCCATCTCTCATGAAGGTGGTTTTTATAGCGGGGACCCGAGTCCAATACAGATCCTTCTACTCCTCAGTAGAGTCAGAAGTTAAAATACTTTCTAATAACTTATTTAAATTTTAAGGACAAGAACAAGAAAATAATATAATATTTTGAATAGTTTTGAATTGAGGAAATCTTCCACTAAAAACAATAATGTGGTGAATTACAACTGCCCGAACAAAAAATTAGTAGTTTCTTTACGAAATCTAGCGAATAGTAAAAAATCTGACGCGGCTATGCTATTAAAGCTTTTAAATTATAAAAAATACTGGACAGCAGCCAAGAAGGTCTTGTGACACCTAAAAGGGACTAAGATGCTTAAGACTTCCACTAATAGAGGGGATACACAAAAACAAAGTATGCTTGAATGTTAGCTACTCAATTATACATGACATGAAGGGCAGGGCTGGTGTTATTTCACTAATGAACATAAAAAGCTTTAGAATATTTCTACTTTGCCAACGACTAAATGTTGTACATTGCTCTCGAAAAATATGTAATTAACTTTTTTCCTGATACTAAAATTTTATTACCTTATAAAAAGGATAAACAAGATGCATAGGAAACCTACTTACTACTTAATAATTGTATTGGCACCTTTAAAAATAATTACTGCAGCTGGTTGTAAAAGTGTTTTGAGGATTCTTTAAGGAAGCTTAAATAGAAAGAATTTACTAAATCTTTAAAATTTCTGATTAATGCAATGATGGGCCATACATACATGTCAAAGAAAAACGTTAAAAATAAGGGGTTTTCGTCTACTTTCTGCCCTTCGTGTCATAGCTGTTTGTACTTGTCTACAGTTCTTAACAACAGTCAAAACTAAAACGAAAAAGCTAGTAATCTTTAAAATTGCTAGAAAACAAACAAAATAAGAGAAATGAAAATTAACAAAGAAGAAGAAGAATAGGTTACTTTTTTTTTAACACATATCTTTACTAGGTATGCCCAAAGAGAATATATAAAATTAGGCTAAATTTAACTTAAAACCTAGTACCAGCATCATCATGGTTTGCTTCAAATACTATTTTAATTATAAAAAATAGATGGTATAGTTCGTACTAGATTAACTGTTGCAATTTTTTATTGGCCGAGATGCTTTCACCTTCCCGACTGTTTAAATTTGCATAAAGTTAACGAAAGTTGTATACGTAATTGATCGACCGAAAATGCGAGTTGTCACCGTAACTACGGTCAGAGCGTTGTCGCACAATCTCAAGGCCGTGGGTTCGATTCCTCTCGGCGCCAACGCGCAATTTTCTGGTTTAGTGGTTACGTATGCAACTCCCTGTCAAACAAAATAATTTTTATTGTTGGGTTAGATCAGATAGTCTGTAACTAACACCTGAACACCAAATGCCCTTCACTCAAGGGCATATATTGCTAGCATATTTTTTCAAAGCGGTTAGTTGTCAAACAATAAATATAGAACCATGGGTTTAAACAATGGCAGCTCTATTTATATGCTTAATGCCTCATAACACGAAACAATTATAAACTGATTTACGTTTAAATGTACTACGCGCATGGTTAATTAGTTCATGTAGTTTTATAACTTACAGGTCTCCCTTAACAAATTTATTGACTCCTCTAAGGTATTGTCATTGGGACGATTAAGATAGCCTCTAATATAGTGGAAAAACCTTGTAACATTTATTTGGGGTCATTTTGAAAGGTTTGAGATTATGAATAAAGTAGTAGGGGGATGCCGGAGCCTATAGCGCTGTATTTGTTAGATTTTCACCACCCCTAAAGGAGTATGCCCCCTCAAGAGGACAGTATTTATTCACTAAGGTATGGAACCCTAACAGCACCGCACTTCTTTTAAAGAGTCTTGCCTTCGATTGTCCTTGTAATGTCTGTTTTTTCTTTGACCACTCTAAGCCGGGGAATAGCTAAAGCAAAGGTTGATCTCTTTTGCAATCAAAAGTCGTTCTACCGTTATGTTTCGGGGAGTGTGGACCCTGTTACCAAATTTTTTTTAATAGAAATCCAAAAAATTAAGGTGTAAATTTTCGACCATAAGTAGTGCACCCTCTTTATAATTTGTTTATAGTGTTTTAAAGTTCTTTATAATATACAGACTGTTAAAAGTAAAAGTTCTACCCCCGAAACTAAAAAACTAGAGAGTCAAATCGCACTGCTTACTAAAGGAGAGGAATTTGAGATATATGGAGCACGTCTTCCTAAGTGACCGCATTTTTTTGTTATAATTATTTTTACACCTATTTTTACCATAAAGAATTCAAATTTTGTCTTTTTAGCCTTATCTCGGCTTTAAGTATACGTCGCTTAAGACGGTATATACTATAGAAAAATTTGCGAACTTCGGTTATTGAAAGATCAATATATATTGATTAGTAGCCAAAATAAGTTTTAGTAATTTGGCAGACTATAATAAACTAGCTAAAAATTAACTTATCTAATAGAACAATTATTTTTTAATAAGAATGTACAGCTATTACTTATTGGTAAAGAAGGTCGTGGAGGCACCTGCTAAACATCTATTCACTTTAGCTCTCGAGAGCCTATTATATAACAATTTTTAAGGTTTGTTAAGAGCTGGAGCGCCTGGCCTCATAGTGTAAAAAAATCGTAGCTTGTTTAAATATTGTCTTGCTAGTTAATATTGTTGGGTAAAGTGAATAGAGTAAAAAAATTCTGTAATCCATAATTTATAAAATATTGATAAAATAAAATAGTTAAATAGGTTATTAAATCTTAGT